TCGAAGTCCTTCTGAATCAAGTCGAAGAATTCATTATTTTGGCGTCAAGTCGACCACAAGCTTCAAAAAAACTACCAAGATCAAGTACTGTGGCAGATTACGAGTTGTGATCAAAAGTTTTGAGTCTCATTGCTGCGTTTTTGTCCATTTTTAGAGCAATTTTCCTAGAGACAGATTTTTACCGCTTTCGTCCGCCATATTGGATTGCTCATGAAAATAGTCTCTAATGCGCATGCGTCCGGTTTTTCCGCTCTGTCTTTTGAAGCACTTTTAGAAATGTGAGCATGTTTTGTTGTACATTGGGCATGCTTTCCTATGCTTTCAAAAGCTAGAAATTTGACAAAAAAATGTTTGCAATCCAAGATCCCCAGTCAACTGTCAGACTTTCAGTTCAATCCCTTGGTCTTCACAATTCCAGATTTCCCAAAAAAATCTCCAAACTATCCTTCCCTCCTACTGCATAAAAACAATATCTAATCTTTGGGTAAGCCATGATCAGTCCAGAGGTTGTTTCGTGGTTCAATATCATATTCATTATTTTGCTGATCAATACTGCATTGAATTTAAATTTTCAGGACCCAGGACACTAATCAGATTTTCAAGATGATGAAACCATTTCTTCTATTTATTTTGGGAGACCCCAGAAGCTCTACAGACTTGTCTCTTAAAAACTATCTACAATCTGTTCTCCTGGATACTGCTACCTTGGAACTGTATGCCGAAGGTCTGTTGCTATGCCAACCATCTCATGTAATTTGCATTTTGGGTTTTTAAAGAGGGAGGACAAATAGAGAACCTGAAAGAAAAACTTCATATTACAATATTCTGACAATCTAGAGTCAAGGAATTGAACCAAAGACCTTTTACTGTATTTACCTATTTGCTTGTTCGTTTTCTTTTGCCTGCCCGCCCGCCCACCCACCCACCTATTTCTTTGTTTGTTTGTTTGTTTGTTTGGAGGCTTTCATAACGCTTGACTTGTAACAACAACAGAAAAGCAGACAATTGTGATGAGGGGCAGGTGGATGGACTCTAATAAGGTCCTGGCGAGGCATACCCCCACACACTTTTACACTTACAATATCAGAGACCATGGGTATTGAAGATCTTATCAAGTGAACATTCTGAAGACCACCCCACTAAGAGAATAATTATATTAATTATACAGCTTCTCATTAATCATATATAGGTAACTGTCCAATTATTTTCTTAATTGGACAGGTCTTGTTGATATGAGATTAATTAGGCAGCTATATAATTAATAGGTACTGGAATTTCATGCTCCCCAATCAAGAAATAATTAGACTCGAAAAATTCCTCTGACTGCCAAATTGGACTCGGCTTACAGCCTCATCCAATTTTGGAAGTCCTCGGAATTTTCCTCATTCAATTATTTCTTAATTGGACGGCATGGAGTCCTATTACATATACTAATGCTCAATATTGAAATTATATTGCACATTCAGATAAAATGCAAGACAGTCTACTACCTACTATTTTGGATTTTCTGACATCATTGTTGTCTTTTTATAAGGTATTTTGATTTTTTAATTCATTGGAATTGTTATAACTAACATTGGCAGTATGTATTGCTATCAGACACACTTTCTTGGATGGTAAGCCTTGTCCTAATCCATGACTATACTCCATTTTATTCAGTTGGATTCAAATAGCATTGGCCAGACAACTGTTTTGGTTCATCAGCAATCAGAGTGGTTTATTCAATGCACTTTTAATACTGAACTTCTCTCTTCTTCAAGAACAAAACAAGGTAAGTCAGTTGGTCATTTGGAACTTTTCCCTTGATTTGGTAGTAATGATAAAAAGGTAAATTACACACTGTGAAAAGAGGAAAAAAACTCACTGACGTTGCGGACGCTAGTCCTTCATCGGAGTAAAAGAGGGATAATTTAGAAGGTAAAGTGTTTTCATTGTTTGTTTGTGTTATTGAACCCTGAAATAATTTTAGGGCTGATCAAAACTTTCGGCCTTTACCTTGAGTCTAATGGAAATACTTATTTTTACAGTTTCTTTTAGTGACCACTAATAATAGTCCCAATTTGAGGTTAGAGTTTCAGGGCTTGAAATAGAATTTTTTTCAGCCTGCAATAGTAAAGGAGCATGGTAAAATGAGGTCATTCCAGTAAATTTTGCATGTCATTTTATTATTCATTTGGCAGTGCATCGTTATTTTTGCATGCAAAACCTGAAATTTGGCCTGTCATTTGGCCATTGGCAGGCTGCTATTTCGAGCGCTGGAGTTGCAGTGCAAAGCAATACAAATTGCTATAATTCATCATGTATTGCAACTTCAACCTCTACTTGGAACTATAATTCGTCGTCACTGAACAGAACTATAAAAAGGAATATTGGTATTGCAAAGCTATGAACAGGCTTATTTAGTAAGCAATTTGATGAACAAGCTTGTTTATTGCTGTTGCAGCTTACCTCAGTAATATTAAAAAGATAGTGGACCATCTTTTGTCTCTCTGCTCGGCAAGACTCCGCAACTCCTTAGATGTCATGTCAACATTGCTGGCCATCAGAAGAATCCAAAAACATGTGCCTGAGGTAAAATCTTGTTATAAAAGTATAATATTCATGCAAAGTTCTATGACTCTTGAGTGACGACTCTGCAATCAGGAGGATGTGGAGTCCTGGAGTCTAACCCAGGGGTGAGAGGTAAGTACCCCACCTCTATACCACCCTTGATGGGTGCATGGATGGCATGCGCCAATACAACTGTGCCCCTCACCAATGCTCCTCACTACTGTGGGTTCTGTGATTTCAGTTTGTTTTAGAATTTTTATATTATTATATTGTTATTATTTTATTTTTATTATTATTATTTTATTATTATTATTATTATTATTTATTATTATTATTATTATTATTGTTATTATTATGTTGTTCTCTCCTTTCCTTGATAGTTTTTCTCCAGGTTCTATAGTTTTCCTCTCTCCAAAAAAATCAACATGCAAATTGAGTGTTGTATGTTGTAAATAATGAATGTAGTGGTAGTGAGCATGGAGTGAACCTCATGGAAGAACTCCTTATGGGGAGTGATGGTCTTAAAATATGTTTCATAAATATATATTTGACAATACACTTGTGTAAAATGAATGTCCACTGACCATCATGATATCTTTGCTCTAGGTTTTTGTCACACCCAGGACATTGTGGGCAATAAATGTTCTTCTTGTAGAGTCCCCTACTTACTACTCTCTGCAGCTGTTGAATATCTGTAAGTGTAGCACCATATCTATTTCAGGAACATAGAAGTGTAAATGTTAGTGTGTGTGGGG